CAGATTTACTAAAATCTAAAATAGAAATAATATATTAATTAATTTAATAAATTAAAAATAAAATAGATTTTTTAAAATAAATAGATTTAATTAGCAGATCTGGATCTACCAGCTTTTATATATTTTTATTAATAATAAACATTCGGATCTGATTAATCTAAAAATACTAATTAGATTAATTATTTAAAATAATATTTTTTTCAGTTTATTAATTTATAGTCAAAATTTGAATAAATAAATTAAAATAATAAATAAATAAATAGATAAATAAATAAATAAAACTTAGATATTAATAAATAATTAAAATAAGAGTATAACCGGACTTATAATTAAAAAGAATTCTGAATATTTTTATTTTTACTTTAATAAAATCTTATTTTTTATTTAAATTTTATATAGGATTCCATACAAAATTTAAATAATAAGTAAAGTAAAAGTAAAAGTAAAGTAAAAAATAAATAAATTTAATTTTTTAAATAAATAACTGATTAAACTAATTAAATAAATTTAAACTGAAACTAAACTGAAAATTCTTACTCAACTAACTAAAAAAATAATAAAAATTAATTTTTTATTTATAGCTGAATAGCTATATTAATTTTCCGAGGCTTTCCGCAATTATATAAAAAATATATAAAAATAAAAAAATAAATAAATTTCTATTAAATAGAAATAATAGAATAAATAGAAGAAGATTATTTTAGACTGTTTTTTTTATTAAAAGATTACTGGAATTCGGAAATCTACTCTGCGAACTGGCTAACTTAAGGCAGCGAACTGAAGAGCCTGAGGTGGCGAACTGGCGAGCCTGAGGCTACCAACTGGCTATATAGTTGACATATTATAATATATTCAATAATATTAACTGGTGCATTAGAATATATATTTAATTTATTTTATGTTATAGATAACCCCTGTAACTATGGCGGATTGCCGACAATCTATCTACACATCCTCTGTGTAACAGTTGTGATGTTAATGACTCCGACCTTCTTCAGTATTTAATTTCTAAGGCCTTGCTAGACCTTCAGGAAAGTAAGGATTAGTCTTGAAATGAACAGACTGCTACTATTCTATATCTAACTGATCCTTCTACCCTTTACATTTTATTTAAAAATTAAAAATTTTTTATCAAAAAAATCTACTAATAATTAAATAAAATATAAATTAGATAATTAGAAAAATAATATATTCTGTATAATAAAATTATATTTTTTAAAAATTATATAAATATAAACAAATATGATATAATTTCTTAATTTATTTTTTATCTATCTTATATATATTATTCTACAAATGTTGCTTATATTCTAAATATACTGTTGTTATATAAAGAATATTCAAAACTTTTTATCTTCATTTAATATAAAGAAAATTCGTAAATATACTATTATATATATTTATATATATAAAATTATTATTATAAATTCATATTTTTATTTTTAGTAATCAAATATATCTATATTTATAACAAACATACAAACATATACTATTCTGTTCTTTCTAATAATTCAAAAAATAAACTATTAATATATTAAATTATTTTTCCTACTATATATATTGGTTAGAATAGACTTATAAAGCTGTATAACCAGCTTACTAAAAATCTTATTCAGCTGAAATAAAACTAATTCTAAAATTTTAGAAATATTATATATAATTAATTTTTTAAAAATAAGAGAATATATTTCTAAATATATATTTAAAAAATTAATCTTATTAATATAATAGATATTCTGACAGATCAACTGTTCTACTAAACTTTTATATATTTATTTTAATAATATAAAATAAATAATATTAAATAATTAATAAAAATATAAAAAATATAGAAGTATACAGATAGAAATAATACTATTTTAGGTATATATATTATTAAATTCTGAAGTTAAATAAAAGTTATATTTATAAAAAATTAAAAAACTATATTATCTAATCTATTAGTTTTTAATAGAAAAAATAAAGTATTTACAAAGCTAATATAAACTAATATTATTAAAAATCTAATTATTTAATAATAAATTAATATATTAATTAGAAGAAAGAAGATTTTAATATTATATTTTTATATAATTTTTTTTAAAAATTAAATATAGTAGCAATACTACACCGGCTGTATTAATATATTTAATTAAAATTATTTATTTTTAATTTTCTGATTATATAAAAAACAGCTTATCTATATAATTAAACTATATAATTATACAGACTGTAGCTACTATTCTTATAATAAAACCGGTTTTATTAAAATTTTATATATTTTAATTAAAAATATTATATTTTTTTATAGTTTTAATACAGTTAAACTATTCGGTTAAAAACTTCGGATCTTTATATTTTATATATTAAATATAATATCTCTAAGAGAATTAATTCTTTAAAACCGGAATATATTTAATAAAATTATATATTTATTTTTCGCCTACAGAAATAGTAGAATTCGAATTCTATTTTTAAAAAAGAATTATTATTATATTTTATATATATAACAGTCGAAAATAAAACCCTTATTTTATAAGTAAAAAAATCTAATTTTTTAAAGCTTTTTTTTAAAATAAATTAATTTTATAAAGTTAGTACGTTTATTTAACTTTACTTTAACTTTTTATAGATATTTTTATAGAATTAAATACAAAATCTTAAATATATATACTACTTCTACTATAAAAAGAATTTCGTTTTTTTAAATAGTCTTAATAGTAAGGCAGATTCGGCCCTTTTAATCTATTAAAGATTTTAACAATTAAGGTATTTTTGGTGGAGTTATTGGTAGTTGAATTACTTTATATTAAAAAAAACGCGAGACTGACGCGTGCGGGTGGCGGGTGGCTTATCATGGCGGGTGGCTTACCGATTATGTTAATCACAAGTATCGGCTGGATGATGTAACAAAAAGTTGGAGCTGCGGGGAATCGAACCCCGGACCTCTCCCATGCTAAGGGAATATTATACCACTAAACCACAGCCCCTTTGACATGCACTCCTTTCCTGGTGGAACATATATACTGCTCTTACCCATGATTCCTTCTCCATGCCGGTGTCCAGAACAGCCGAAGAAGTTTACCACTGTAGAATACTCCATCACCAAGCTCGAAGGATTCGCATATCATACTGTCAATGTTTGCCGCTGAACTACAACGATCAGATACATATCCAGCAAGTACGGCACAAGGCAACACATGATTTTGGCAGCTGGCAAGTTGAGCCCAGCACAGAAGGGGTCGTACTCGATGGGCCCGTGCTGCCAGTGGGTGGTAAGTAAGCAAACTACATCGACACTGTGAACTTCACCTAGGCTAGGTATGAACGCCGACCCCGAACCTCACCAGGTTCGGAAGTAGAAACGGGAAGAGGTGCTGCAGCAAATTAACATGTAACACGCCTGCGGGCCATACGAGGCACCGATTATTCCACAAGTTGAACAGTTAGAAAGGTCTTGTTTGCTCAGATTGCCACTGGCCAGAACACTGAAGGCGACAGAGCAGGAAGAGCCTCTTGGCAAGATCTAGTCAGGTTTTCGGGCAAAAGTTGATGAAAAATGAGATAGCTCAAGAATAAAAAATCCTAAGCTCCGGCTTCTATTGTGTTGTGATTGTTGCGGACACACAAATCTTTTGAGTACCCGATTGGCAACAAACATGACAAGTATCTTGGAGGTCAATCCGCTAACGGTACGATCCGAACCAAGCATGAACAAAGCCCATGGCTCCCGAAGCCATCATTCTTCCATGCGTCACGACGAGTATACGAACTTGGCCCCGAGCGAAAATGCCAGAATCGCGTCAGCTAAGACTGCCTAAGCTCTCTGCTCCGAGGTGGGAAAGCGCATGCTTCAATAGCTCCATGTCTCAAGAATACTCAACGACCGCGAGGTCACAGAATGCAACACCTGAGCTGGAGGTGCCATGCTCAACAGAGACATCTTTCGTCGTATCCATCATATGAGCCTTCTCTGCCGAATTACGGCAGCCCATACTTGATCTGATTAATCATGGAAAGCTGGCTTGTGCCATGTCTACCAATGATCGTTTATCACCGGTCCCCTGATGCATCTTGAGACTCAGCTGGTACTCTTACGAGGGTTGCGGGTAATTGTGAATTGTTCGGATCGCTCTTGCTTGCGAAGCCAAAGCTAACAGGATTCACTATGGTTGGAAATATTAGCAAAATGCATCCATCACAACCGAGACACGAGAAGAGTAGGCAAAATGCTCACCCGAGGCCATACTAATCGCTCTCAGCACATTGTCCCAATTCGCAAGAACACAGGCGACGGCTAACAATAGAGAGCGGAGAGATTCAGCAGCAGCTAGACGAATGTACTGGCCTGGGATCATACCTTCCGTTCCATCTCTAAGAGTTCCAATCTTGATTTCCAAGGCTTGCATCTGTTCTGCCAGTGCACCGCTCATGTCTCGCAGTTGCCTCAGATTTTCTAGCTCGGCCTTCTTTGAAGCTATACGCGCTGCCAAGGCCGATGACTGTTGTTGAGCGACGGCCGATGAGTGATTCGGCGGACGAAAGGAGGCTGCTGCGGAAGTACTCGAAGGTAGCATCGCGGCCAGCTGGAGCAACAGATACCCAGGAGAGCTGTCGCTGATTACCCTACAAGGGGCCGGAAAGCTTTAAAGTGAGGATATAAGCTCAGTTCATGTGTTTGGTCTCAAGCGATGTGGAGTTGTTGTCACAGAGGTGCGGTGTCAGGCAAATGAGTACGCCTTGATCCAGAACCGTGCCGTCGACTGGACATGGCCGAGTACCAGCGGAGGGGCGGGACGGGGCCGCCACCACTAGTACAAAATAGGACAATTGTCAACAAGCTAAACCGCATCGTGTTTATCTGTTACCATCCTCCGATGGATCTTGCCCAACTCATTCTACTGTAGGCGACAAGAGCCCCATCGCGGAAATCTCTCCTTCCACCCGCGTGAAGGGCTAATCAACTTGGCGACATTTGAGAAGAAGATTCAACTGCCGCTGTCTGCGTTTAGGACACAAGCATGGCTCGATTGAATGAATCAACGACAACAACGACGGAGTCTATCGAAGGCTGTAAGTTCCACACAGCAGAGTCCAACATTGCAACTCCCTCAAAGACAAATCTCCTGACAGATAAGTAGTGAAGAGGCGGTTCGTGCGGCAGAACCGTGAAATCGCCCGGGTCAATTCTATACAGTCCCTCCGCATCCGTAGCCTCGAGTCGGAGGTTTCTCATTTACTCGCTGAAAATGTTTCTCTACGAGAGCAAGCAATAACACTTAACCAGGAGCTAGAAAGATACCAGGCTGTTAAGATACTCCAGGATGGAGTCTATGACATCAAGTCAAGACTAGATGCTAAATTGACGGAATTGACCATTCTGGTAACTGAGCTGGGTGAGCTACCGCGCGATTACAGAAAAAAGCAAAATACCGCGCAGATCAGGTGCCCGACGCAGCCATCACAGTCAGCCCTTAACTGGGAGCGCAAGACCGCTGAAATGGAGCAGAATTTCGCTTGTGAGGAGGAAGGAAAGCTTCCTGTGATACTCGAAGACAAGTATTTCCCAAGAAAGACGCTGGAGTAAGCATACAATGCAGTTATCTCTATCATAGAATATATGCTTACTGCTCACAGGCCGCACGATATACAAGGTGTGCTCGACAGTGATGCTATTGATCACCAGTCTCCGGCATCTCGGGCGCTAGCCACCATGGATACAAATTTTTCCATCCCTCCAAACGAGGAGTCCACAGTCAACAGGTCGCTCGAGAGTTGGATGAATCCAAACTATGCCGATGTGCCCCTTCCACTCACGAAGGATCATGAAAAAGAGGAACGCGAACTTGATGCGACGATTTCAGAGAATAATCCTGCGGCTTACGACGCAAGTCCTATGCGAACGAACCCGATACCTGGACCGAGCCTGGGTGCAAAACGAAAGTTCTCGGCAGATATTGAAGACCGATTCGAGAGTCCGCTGAATGAGGACGACGATTTTGAGTATCGGCAAACTCGTTCTTCCCCCGGGACAGTCGACCCAATCGACCCAACATTCGGCAGATCACCATTTAAGGAAGACAATCACCCACTTGAAGAAAGCAAGAAAAATGTCAAGCAAGCAAGACGGAGGATACTAAAACAAAGTAAGGCCAATGTTTAATTCTTATTGTGCGGGTCGACATCTAATTCGAGGTATAGAAAGCACTAATGTCAGCATTCCCTCGCCGAGAAAAGCTTTCAATTCCAGGCTCGATGATGCACACTTCCCGCGTGAAGATGCTGTCATAGCAGCAATTGGTGATAAGGGGAATGGGTCAGGCCTTGTAGAGGCTTCATTATACACGCAGAGCGAGGGTGAAACGCTCAGCCGAGCGCCGACGCACCATACCTCCAAAGCAGAAGCCAGGAATGTCGGTATGGCACGCGAGGCAGTGAGTCTGGGGTCCCTGGCCAAAATTGATCGACTTGAGCAGCCAAAGTCGGGAGCGGATACAAGGGATGCAGTAGTAGGTGGTGCCACTGGGTCATCTCGACCGACAAGGCGCCAGAGGGCTATTGTGAGTTATGCAGAGCCTAATCTGCGCGATAAGATGCGCCGGCCGACGAACGAGTTAGTCGCAGCAGTGGGGGATCGAACACGGAGACCCTCTAGCACAATTGACATCCCTATGAGCACGGGAGAGGATGGGGATGCGTTTCGGCGGCGCAAGTCGGACACTGTCAAGTCGCAAGTTTTGGGTACTACAGGGACTGATTCACCGTCACCTGTCTTAAATCCAGCTATGGCATCTCCCTCAAAGAGTATGAAGATGGTGTCACAAAGGAAGCGCAAGGTCTCTCTCGCAGGCAGATACGACCATGCAACGACTCGCGAGACAGCCGAGGGGAGTAGTGAGCGTTATGATCATCCGTTGACCGATCTCGGGAATCAAGACCATGAGCCGGAAGGCCAATATACTGCTGCACTCTCAATCAAGAATAGTTCAGACGAAGGTCTCAGCAAGCGATTAACAGAGGCCACCTGTGACAGTATGGCAAAGACAATATCGCGTGCACACAAGCCACAGCCAGCTACTACTAGACAATCGAAACGGCGCTCATCGAGCCTAAAAGCCTCCGAACAAGATACACTCAAGCCAGACGGGGCGGTCCAGGATTCCCAAGATATCTCACCGAGTCTTTCCAAAGTATCACCTATCAAAGTCAACGAGAAACTTGAGCAACCCGATCATGACAGGCGTGCTTCAGCAGAAATATTTCAGATTTCTTCGGCTACATCCGTCTCAACGGAGACAAAGCAAGCTGGGCGATCCCTGCGTGCCGCCGCGAGAAGAAGGAGTATGATGCTGTAGATGTTTCGCAGCCCTGCCAACCAAGCAATGCTATGTACATAATATCAATAATTAGACTGGGTTCATGTCATGTCATAACTGCCTGAGAAGCTATGGAACAGGAGACATTGCGCGCCATCACGAGCTTAGGTTCTAAGACTTCAAACCAAACATATGAGAGTATGGCGTATGCAATGAGATGAGCAAAGTCATAAAGTATGAGTGGGGCTCTCTTTCGCATGGATAGCAACACGCTACTTACGAAGCTAGGCCACGCTGGCTCGTAGAGATCAATTGAATGATTTTGGATTCGATCTTCACGGGTGTACCTGGATTGGCTGGGTTACTATGCTCGAATAAGGCTTGATGCAACATTCCGAACACATGTGTGTGTGTGTTTGATTGCGGTGAGCTTTAAGTTCTTCCCAGAAATCCATTCTTTGCTGCAAGCATGCTCAGCGACCCCTTGTTGTCTTAGGCATCTTCTCGTAGGCATTGGGGCTAGGTTTTCTTCGTCTTGTCTTTCCGGTATCGGATGGCCGTTCTGATGATGTATGTCCAGGGCTGTTGTGGTCACAACTCATGTGATGACGAGACCGCCGCCCGCCGTTACGGTGTGTCTGACCATCATCGCCGTAATCGGAATCGGAATCGGACTCACTGGAATCAGACGATTCTGATTCTGAGCTACTCTCACCGACAGGTCGAGCTTTATGATATATGCAGCAGACTTGAGACAGATGAGCGATGTGTCGTAGAAGGTGTTGGCTTGGCTGCAGAGTGGATGGGTGCTTTCTCACCTTTGGAGCTTTTCTTTCCCATTCCTTCGTTGTCGATAACGTCATCTCTCCACTGTATATGCCGAGCTGGGTTCTGAATTTCAGCGTGCTCATTAGAGATGGAACGGTCTTCAGCACTTTCTGCACGTAATCTCAGAGTTGCTGATATACGGGTTGTTGAAGGGCCCTCATTGGACTCCGCTAATGACTCAGTTCTGGAGCCACTGGCTGACGTTGGAGCTGTTTGATGAACTTGAGACATCCTGGCAAGTCGGGAACTCTCGGTAATAGGTAACGGTGATGGGTAAGAGTGTCATCACAGTTGAGGTATCCTGAAAAACTAGTTAAGCACAGCGGGCTACAATCATTTATCAATTCAACACAATCCTTTCGTCCTCGGGAAGAGGCCGCTCTCGCCGCCCTGGGTGCAAATTAACTACGTATGTGGTCAGTTAGTTAATGTATTTGGTAAGCGAACCGGCCATATAAGCGAGTCAGCCACCTTCTTAACCGCTCTTAACCACCACCACGTCTATAAAACTAAGAATATTCAGATCTTAATTTTTTTATTGAAATGTCTACATTGTTAAAAGAATTGGTGGAACAAAAAGACAGACTTTATCTTGATAATTAAGACTATTTAAAAAGATTAGATTACTCTATTTTCAAAAGCTGTATCGATTTTAATATTTTACATTTAATTTCTTAAAAATATTTCCAAAAAGTTATCTTTCGCAAAGAAACACATACCAACAGTTATAAATAATTTTTTAAAATACTATTAGATTAATATAATTATTAAAACTATAATAATAATTTAATATAATAATATTAAAATTAAAAAGTAAAAATATTTAATTATTTTTAAAATTTATTCAAATTTTTATAAAATTTTTAATAATATCATTTAGACTTATAGAAGCTTCTGCTATATTCTAATACTTTATTAATAATATTTTAAAAAACTATTCAAATATTTCTTATATTATGTATTCTAATGATATTCTAATATACAGCTGTATCTGTTATAGAATAGACGAATTCATAAGTATTATATTAGTTCGTTAAGAAAGAAGAAGTAAGAATAACTAAAAAATTAATAAGACTAAAGTTCTATTATATAAAATAATTAGAAAAACGAAAAAAACAGATCAGTAGAATATTAATATAATAATATTTACTATAAATACTAATCTTTAAAACTAATATTCTTAAAAGCTATATATATAAATAAATCGACAAGTCGATAATTAAAATATATTATAATTTAAAATATTTAAGAATACTTTAATACTTTAATATAAAGTATAAAATATTAGATATAAAAAATATATAAAAATATAAGAATTTAAAGTTATAACAGTATAAAATATAGAATATAGATAAAAATAATATATTTAAAGAATATAAATATAATAATAAAAATAAAAAAACAGACTGTATAAAATATTTAAATTAAATAATAATTTTTAAATTTTTTAATTAAGTTATCTGCGGCAATATCAGATATATAAATTTACATATTATTTTCAAAACTATATTTAAATTAATAAATATAATATTATATAATAAATATATAATAACAGCTGTAATAAATAATATACTTATTAAAGATTTTAAATATTTTTTAATAGTTTTAATTAAAAAAAGTATTTATTAAAAAATATAAAATAGTTTGGTAAGAATATGATTATATAGATTTTTATTAATAAAAAAATTTAAACTATATTATAGATATAATAGAATAAATTTACTATAAATTAGATAAATGAAAATAATATATATAATAACTAATAACTTTAATAATAAAGAATAAATAAGTATACTATTAAAATAATTTTCTTTTTATTTATTCAAAAATAATAGATAAGAAATATTCTTTATAAAAATATAAATATATATTATTTTCAAAAATAGAATATATAAATTTATAATTAATATTATATATTCTTTTATATAAATAAATATATATTTTAATATTTCTTTAATATTAAACTGATATATAAAGTCTTAAATATTTTTAATAAAATAAATATTAATCTTTAAATCTATATTTTTTAAAATAATATCTTTCAAAATAATTAAATTAATATAAAAAAGTGTCGGAATATTTAGTTTAATATAATATACTTTTAATAAAAAACTATAAATATTTTAAAAATATACTGTATATATATAGTAAAGTAAATAACTGATAATTATAAATAAAAAAATTAATTATAATTATAATATTAAAAAATATAATAATTTAATATTAAATATTTTAAATAATTTTATAATATATTATATTTTTATAATTTAAATTATATATTCAGACTGACTATCAGTCTACAGATATAATATAATAAAATAAAATTAATAATATTTTAAATATATAAATAATTTTTTTAAAAATCTAATATAAATTAAAAATTATAATTTAATATAAAATAATATAATATTCTTTAATTATAAAATTATATATAGTCGATAAGAATAATATTCTATTATTATAATATTTAGATTAACTTTTAAATAATAAATTAAAATATTTTATAGATTTATCGACTATAATAAAAGCTAATTATATTTATTTAATATAATTATAATAATAATAAAGTTTATTATTATGATTTAAAATCACAATATAAATATAGAAATTAATTATAATTAACTATAGAGTTAATACTTATAAAATAGTTATTTAAATATATTAAATATTTAAAAATATAATTATTTAAAAATTTTTAGATTTAATAAATAATCAGACTGTTTAAATTATATATTTTATAAGATTTTTAATAGTTATATTTATTATAAATAGTATAAAAGACTTTAAATATAATCAAATATAAAAAAATATAATGAAAATTTTATAAAAAATAATAATATTATTTTTAATATTATCTTTAAAAAATATTAGATATAATGGTTCTATTAGAACTATTAAATATATTATATTTTATTATAAATAAAAGACTATTATTTAGAAAATATAATAATATAATATTAGAATCAGACTGTATTATAACAATAATTTTAGATATATAAATATTAAATATATATCTATTTTAAATATAATATATATCTATTTTAAATATAATATATAAAAAATTTTATTATATTTTAGAATATAAATAATATAAAAATATAGAGAATTCGGAAAAATACAGATACGAATATTTTTAAATATCAAAATTAATAAAAAATAGTTATAAAAAATAAATTTATGAAAAAATATAAGAATTTTAATAAAATATTTATAATAATATTTAAAATTTTTAAATAATAGAATATATACGGTTTAATTTACTATATATATTATAATATATATATAAAATATAAATTCAAATATTTAATTATGATAATATTAAAAATAATCTATTTAAAAATAATAATAATAACCAAATAGTCGGTATAAATAATAATAGAAAAATCAAAAAATATAATTTATATAAAATAATATAGTTTATATAATATTTGAATAAAATAAGATATTTCTAATTCAGTAAGCTGATAATTATATTTAATAAAAATTAAAATATAAATAAAAAAAATTAATACTTATATATATA